TATCCGAGAGCGGAACGTATCATTGCGGACTATTTTTCAGTGATTACAAACAACTGTTTTGAGAAGTCTCATATTGAACTCGGTCAATATTAAACAGATCTACAGATTTGGGAAGTGAAGCCAGGATAACAACATTGCACGCTTTATGTCCTGGACGATTTTTTCACATCTCAACTGGTGCCTACTGCAGACAAATACGATGTTTATATTAGGTCTGATAGGCACCAGGTGAGATGCAGCGAAATCGCCGGCGCAAACATCGTGCAATATTGTTATACTGGCTTCTGTTTTCAAATTTATTACGGTAAAAGGTCGTTTGAAATCCACGGATTATCTCACAAAAACAAAACATGTTAAATCAGTTCTGCAGTGACCAAGAATTGCCCATTGATCGATCAAATTACGAACCAACTCCCTTTCTCTTATTTTACCCTTCCTTACTGGTCCTTTTAATTTTAAAATAAAATCCAGTGGTTTCATTTGACGTATTTTGTGCCGATAATGTATTTCACTTCTCATATTGCAAAGAAACTTTATTCTGTTTTCTAGGAAAATCCGAGTGCAAAAGATTCTACTCTCGTTGAAGTTTCTCAAACCGAATCCTCTTTGCTGATGCTTACCAATGACCAGGAATACAGGCATCTAAGGAATCTGTACCAGGTTCTCTTCACTGTGTATTCGGTTTTTTAATTTTGCTTAAGGGAAAGTTTTCTACCGTGGAATTGGTCAATCACCCATCAAGCGGAAAACTGTACGTAAGTTTGAATAGAACCTGTATACTTTATTTTATTTGTTGAGTATGCGGTGAGGCAGTTCTATCCTCAGTTGAGGGACTACGGCCAATGAGGGACTGACGCAGATGCGTGTTTTCACCTGACAAACTACCTGTTTATAACTAAAACCCAAAAATGTCCATGCAACGCATGGTGATGTATCAAAAGCCGATGCGCCACCGAGTAAAGCAAACATCTCTTAATCCCTTCAGGTATCATTTCGTTAGGCAAAGGATAAAGTTGCGACCTCGACAAACAGGCCGCTTTTTTCTTTCTTTCTCTTAGCTACTGTCTGCCCAAATTACGTGAGTAATTTTTGTTGAAGAACGTATCTGAGCATACTTGAATCAATTTTTCGCCTCGGCTGCAGTCTATTGTCGGTCATGTTGTGGTAAAATATAAGCCCGTTTGTGTTTGATCCGGAGTTCAAATCCCGAGCTGGTCTGAGAGTATGCACTATTGCATACTATGTCCAAAGTGCCTCGTTGACTGCATGAGCTGAGAGTTGTGCATGAAAATAAGTTTGATCAAATCAACACTTTATCCTACATCGCTACTCAAATATAACTGTGACGTAAGTGTCGCAAGATTCATGAAATTTTGGAGTTCTGAAAGAAAATCGATGGTTGGTTTGAAACTACGGATCGCAAATGTGAGACGTGGACGATTTTGCTTTCTTCCGAGCACTGTTTTTTAGCTCTCTACCTAGCTTATTCAATGGCATTACCAGTTTTTTTTTATTGTATTTGATCTAAACGAATAAGCTCAATCTAATCTCACTCATTAGATATCTCAAAATTTAAGAATGGACGACGTACTCGGTTCCCACCCCCCATCCCCCCTCCTTACACACACGGTAGTTCCAAATTTCGCAGATTGTGCATTAAAAGCCAGAAGATTCTGATCAACGAAAGAATTAAAGACGTTGAATAAACAATCAAACTTTCACTGTAGGTAAAAACCGCATCCATCAATAGCCGATCTTACTCCATTGCCTTACCGACTCTTTTCAGGTAATCAAATGGATTCCTCGAATGAAGCAGGTATTCACGACCTCTCAACGGAAATCTTACAATGCTGTTGAAGGTAAACGATCAATTGAGGTTAATCATGACGGACACAGATATACCCGAAGAGTGTAAAATACTTGAAAAATTGAAACATCCTAAAATTATTCAGTTTCATGGATTGACCGCAAGTTGTAAATCCTCGTTTCTGGGTTTGAGTGAGTGATTTTCCGTTGAACCAACAGTACTTTTTAACAAATGATTAACTCAGGCAGGATCGGTAGTGACCATCGAAATCGTGGCATCTAGTTTCGTGTAGCTACTACCACTGCAAGATTCAATGAAAATTCCACTAACTGAAAACTCGCAACTTTCGGATTGGTTTCTAACTTAGGTGAGAACAAAAAGGGGTAATCGTAGTTATGGGTGTGTTGTTTTTAACCACAGTATGGCACTCTTTTAAACTGTGCGCATACGTTCTGATTAGATTTGATTGTAAGAGTAACAGGTCCCGGAAAAGATAAATTAAGGAAAGCCATATGGATGTCAAAAGTTACAGGTTCCTAGATCAGACGAAATCTTAGTTTTATTGTGAACAATCAATAATGCTCTCTCCGCCAGTGAATTTGGTTGCTGCTTTCCACCCATCCATCTGATGGAAGGAGAAGAAGAAAGACTAGGAAGCTGAAAACCGTACTGAAGAGGAAATAGAGAATTTCGGTTATCTAAGGTTGCAAAGAAATTGAGGTGATGCACAAGCGCCACTGTTTACAACACTCAATCTACCGCGATCAACGCGGGCACATTTTCGGGTCTCAATTTTCATGCCCTCATGCCAGGTCTTAGTTTGAACTCCTTTGATTTTTCCTATCCAATATTTGCCTTGGCAAACATTGCACGCTGTGGCATCCTATGTAGTGACACGCGTAACACATGTCCAACAGACTGTGCAAACTGACAGCGGTTGGAATCGCGTTCACGAACATAGTCAGTCTTATCTTGGGGCACGGGGTTGACCACGAAATCGATCTACGTACACAAGTGGAGTTTTAACGCCAGATACCAGCTGTTTCAGCCGATTGTAATACACGATCACTGGGCTCGACAATTGTGATACATTCTGACAATTTAGAAGTGGGTAATTTGTTGAACTGAAAGGTAATTTAATTGCTGTCTGGCACCTGCTCTGATATCCCAGTAGATAATCTTTCCCCACTTCTTTTGATGCACTAACTTTAGCAACTGAATGAGAAAAAGAATGAAGAAAAGGACTGATCTAAACCGGATTTCATCGGCATTCCGCTCGTGTTGCGTATTAATACCGCGAAACCTGCATTGTGATTTCTCGACAGTTCATTGTTTTTAACCTACATCGTCACATTTTAAAGATTGGATGGGAAAACCAGCGGGGCGAAATCCTTCCGTTCTCTTCAATTAACAAATCCTCCATTTGCGAAGCGAAAGTCTTCTGGCACCTATTATCTCGCAACTCCATTTATTTACACCGGGAATGCAGTTTTGATGTTTCCATTTGACTAATAGTTCTGGCTGCTGAGAACAAATTTTGCTCCCAGGATTTTCTATGACTCTAATTGTATCACTTCACAGCTGTTCGGAAATCCCCGGCACACTGACGGATAGAATGATTTTCCGGTAAGCACGACTTACGTTCAATTCCAATTAAGAATTTGCCACGTCGATAAACAAAGAGTGATCAAACTAAAACCTACCATAAAGCTATGAAAACCCTGGAAGGAAGATGCCCTTACATAGGTCACGTTAGGCTTGCTAGATGGAGACCATTGGATCAGCATAAAGGTTGCTTAGAAACACTGAAAAATATTGTTGAGTGTCGTAGGAGGTGGTGCTCATTCATGCGCTCAATATCCCTGCAACCACTAATCTGCATACATTCTCTTTTGTTCACCCCACCACTGCTTCATGCAAATATGCACCCAAAACCGCTGCACGGGAGTGCATGGTTAGTGGTAGTTTAACCTTAAAATGAACGAAGACTTTATATGATTCCAAATTGCCTGCTGACAGATAAGCTCATAGTTTGACATGAGGCGGATGGGCTATGGGCCTCGTCAACCCAATTATTCTCTTTTTTAACTTATTTGTGCGTGATGATCTGGAATAGGCGTTATTGATTTCAAGTGGTCTTCTTTCGAATTCCATCTTCAGGCACAGTATCTAGTAGCAACCTACCCCAGATCTTACGGGATGATGAGCTCTAACAAGAGTGAGACTAAAATGTAGCATTTTAGCTTAGATTTTGCCTGAATATAGATTATTCCATTTTACTACTAGCGAGTTCTTGCGGGCTGAATGTGAATAATAACGGGCTCCATTGTGCTGCATGATTGCCTTTTATTCACAGTGATGGATAACGTCATCACACTTGTTCTGTGTATGTTGTACGAGCGTAGATGCCGTTTCACTTAAGCATTGTCAAACAGATAAGTGTGCCACTGAGTCTCGAGAAGAAGACTTTGGCCAGTCAAACGCTGCCAGGTAATGTAAATAAGTAGAAAGCCAGATATATGATATGGAATTCTGATACACGACCTCTCAGCTTATGCATTGGTGACCTACTCTGCATGATTACCAATAGTTATAAGACCAGATAACTACATTTTTGTTTTATCTAAACCGGTTTATCTCACTGCCATTTGAAATTTCGGTTACGATATGGAAGGCGCAAACGCCCGATCATAAGCTGAGGTAACTATCATACAATCATTATTAAAAAAATAATGAAAGGAACTATGTCTGTAAGCCGGTATTTAATATATATAATATATCGATTCAGGGTAAACAAACTATAATGGGGTGCTTACCTCTAAGAGTCGACTTGTAACACATCTGACCAACGAATGCTAGGCTTCCGGTTCAAAAACTTGTTTCCGTCGGAACTCAAACCGTGGACTTTCGAGCTGAATCAAAAGCTTACCCCTAATCTGTATGAAGAATGATTAAACCCTTTCTAGAAATCAAACAGTCGTTCCTGTTACCCATCCGAAGTAAAAGACAAAACGTATGTCTGTTGTGGTCTTGTATGGGTCCCAGTTATTAGGAGTTTAATAAGTTCTCACAATTTGCCGCAGTTTAGCTGTGATAGATATTTTCCGTGTTGCCGTTCTACTCTGAATCATCATAGACGGTCGTTTAAATCATTGTTTTCACAGCCTTCTATATGTGCAGAGCACCTCACTCAATGAAACCCAACCTATTCTGCTTTCTTTCAGTACTGGAGTATGTTCCGTGTGGGTGAGTTTCACGTATGACAAACAATACGTGCATGAAACTACTAACAGGACCCTGAGCGATTTGCCCCAAGACTCCAAGTTTGATGATGAGACTGCTAAACGCCTTGGGGGTGATCTTATCAGTGGTGTGCACTATCGTGAGTTCCGGTTTGGGCATATCCAGCCACATAAATCGGTTGTGCTGAACAGTGCATCAGATCAATATTATTCATCGGGATCTTAATCCGAACAATTTGTTGCTCACGAATTCCGGTGATTTGAAGGTGAGCACAACTTCACTCGAATTAGAAAAGGGGACCTTTTAATCCATTTCGCGATAGATCAATCAAAAGATTATGCGTAAACCTAGGACCATGTATTAATATATATATTTATATATATATTGCTCAAAGTTAGTTTTAGACAAGCGCATCACTATCCCACTTAGATTGTGAAAATGGCTGAGTATAAAAATGAGGTGTTTTATTTATTATCACAAACTTGTGCCATGAAACTTAGACGGGATAAACCCATTGTCACAAATGTATATTGTTCATTCACGGAAGCCGACAACCTAACACTCGTGGCTTGGAGTGGCCATCGACATAACGCCCTGCTAGTTTAGGCATATTATTGAATCGAGCTACGGTGATGCTGAATAACACCGAAGTTAGGTGGCGGTTACAGGGTTCAAACCTCAAGTGACGGTGATGTAAACCGCTTTACCACCCTACACAGTTTTCAGACCAGTTACACAAGTCATCACACTGAAGTGGAGAGGACAGACTCCACATGCTGGGCGCTGAGAGCAAGCAGTCAATTTAAATCAATAGAAGATTTTAGGCATTCTGAAAACATCTGCGAGTGAACCATAAATCACGCTGATTTTCGCCCCTCTTGGCTCACCACTTGGTTGTTGATAGTGTCTTCCCACCGGGCTGCTCTTTTACATGTCAAATATAATTGCACGTTCAAAAACAGATTCGCAAATATTGTAAAAATTATCATTTTAGTAAGAGGTTCATAATATAATTTGGGAAGACAGTAAACTTGATTCTGCGACCAACTTTTGTCATCACCAACAAGCCATTAGTTTTATTCGAAGATAAAGAGAGAGAGATTGACATCACATAAGGTTTTTTGCAATATATCACATACTGCTGATTTCATCCCCAGTATCATTTTATCAGCCGTCTTCCTAAATCATAATGGTAGACGACTTGTACTGCTCTGGTGCCACATGATGGTGGACAAAACCCTTTTTTTCAGTTACAACCATCTGGACGCATACTTCCTTTTCGTTTCGCTAACTGCTAATCAGTATACATTATTGTCCAAGAGATGATCTAATGTGGAATCAGACGGGAGCGTTTCCCACGGTGTATTATTTTTACTGACAAGCTGATTAAGTTATTCACTCTCTGCCTCCTTTTATATTGTAATTTTGATAACATCTTCATACCATAAAAGATAAGAGCATATTTTGGGCAAAAAACTAAACAGACTCTATTTCATATCATTTTTCGTTACTTCTCTCCGTTTTTGATGCCGGAGAAATGGTGGATCTTCTCGCCTTCCAGGATGTTGAGCTCCATCAAATAGGGCATGGTTAGATCCAGAAAGGAGCAGTTCATGAGCACATGCTAGTAGAGGAAATACATAACTTCCATGGTTTCCGTTCGACTTAGTTGTACATGAAATTTAGTGAGCTGTTTAGACTCTGACGCAAAAGAGAATTTGAGATCTTCAACGGTGAGCGGGATAAAAAAAGGACATCCTTCTATAACCAGATGTCCAGAACGATTCGTTTGGTCGCACTTGGAGAATAAATACGGTATTGTTAACATGCGAGTACCTAAAGGAGAACAGGTGTTTTAATTGGTTCTATTCTTAACGGATTTGTTACAGAAAATTCTCGAAACCCTATACAACTGGTTATCTGCACAGCGTTTACAACTTGCGTTAAACACCAAAAGACTCAGCAGCTTCTGTTTTGCCATTCTCAATTATTTATTCTATTTCGTTCAAAATCAACTTTGATTAGCACTATATTCGATGCACAGTAAAATGTTTGTGTGGTGGACAACTGCGAACAGTTTCCTGTAGCCCCTTTGTAATGAAAGTGAGCAAAGTAAGAATTGATGAATCAATCCTCAAAAAACAAGGTCGCTAGTGGACAAAGTATCAACCCAGAGACAGCTTTCAAAGTTTCACAACGGTACTTAATAAACACACCATGGGATTACCGGAGAAAATTTTGTGAAATAAACAGTAATTACTAACTTGAAACCCTGTGCGTGCAACTTAACCCAATTAAAACACTGGTGTTACCACGGTCATATAAAATGATTATCTCATTATCTCTTGTAATTACCCCTTTGGTTGGCTGTTTCCTCCGTTTAGTGACTATGCTTACACCTAGTTTATTCATCTTCAGTTTAAATGCGAGCATTGCACAAATTTATTACGTAAACTTTTCTTCTTTGCTGACCCTAACTTCATTGCGTGTTGCCAACCTGCCGGGTATTCCACACCCAGACAAACACGCATCTCCGTTTTCTAGCACAAAAAACCCGGGGAAAAAAATGTCTTTCGCAACTCTCAGGTCTCGGGTGAAATTCATGTGAGACAAATGCTTATCATTTAGTGTTTCATTATCCACTAGCGTACGGGCTATTGAATGAGTGATGTATTACATCATTTGTTTGAAACTTGCTATGTATGCGTCTTTTTTACTTTTATTAATATCACTTGTTACGAGTGTAATTACGGTAAATACAATCAAAACCGCTCATTGCGATAATTGGCTGAATTATCTTAACAGATCACAGATTTCAGTTTGAGCGTTCAAGGTGGCAACAATGGGGATGCTCTGCTCACCGGCACCGTCGGCACCTCGGCCTATTTGGCCCCGGAATGCGTGAGTGAATCGAGTAGACCTTACTATGGGAAGGTAAGTGTGCAACGGATGTGATGTAATATACCAGCCGGTTGATGTGTGGGCCAGTGGAATGACAATCTATTGGATACGGACGAAAGAGGTTAGTCAGAATGAAATCGATTCAAATGTGCTTAACCGAAACAAATTTGATAGATTTATTTTAATCGACCGAACAAGCATCAAACATATCAGGCTATTCGGGAAGAGAACATAGAGTTGGAAGGGTAAATTGCATGAATCATTAATTCTAACTATTATTTCCAATCCTGGTAATCACCGATTTATCTCTTTTGACAGGAAGTCACTGTCGCCAAATGTGATTGAGTTGTTGCAGCGCATGTTGCAAAAAGACCCGACCAAACGTTGTCGTATTTCAGAAATTTCGGAAAAGTTGATCACCAACTGATCATGAGTTGTTATTCAGATCGTTATGCATGGAATAGAATAATTCCAAACGTTTTTGATTTGACCAACCTTTTGTTGAAAAGTGTTTTCGATTTTTTCTCATTTTGGAATTCTTAGAATTTTATTTTCCAGTATTGATTGAATGTGACAGTAAAGTGATTCAGGCTGCTTTCGTTGTCGTACACGAGTCATAGGCCTGTTGTTCAAACTTGAGCAGCATCAATCATTGTTGGTGGCAAGCAGCTTTGATGTTTTTATGTCGAGATTGTGAAAAGTTCAGTAGCCTAGTTGGGATTCGATTCATTCAGTGGACTCTGGAGAATTCTAAGGAAAACCTGTCGGGGCAGTCAGCTTACGTGTTAACTGGTGGATGCCATATGCTTCTGGAATTCGGATAGGTAATTCGAATGTGAAAGGATCAGTGCTATCGGTGTTGCCTCGTAGCTCAGCTGGTAGAGCGTGCGCTGTACAAAAACGTAGGCGGCGTCCATGCGTGAGTTCGAATCCCACCGAGGTTACTGAACTTCTCACAATCTCGACATGAAAACTTCGATCTGCCAAGCAACAATTTGAGCTTTGATGTTGTCCAGCCCAGGTCNCATGTTCATCCCACAGGGGATTAATATCGATCGCGATCTTCAGTTTCAGGGTATGACAGCTGAATGAAATAAACGAATGGAAAACCGTCTTGGTTATATTATTCAACTGTTTATTCTTTTGTTCACTTTTATTGAAAATAAAACAGTATACAAAATTTTTATATAGTAACAATTGGGCAATCAAATGACCGCCCAATAACATAAATAAATGGAGGGTGGGAGAGTTATTCGGTTTTAATGGTGGTGTTGGGGTATTTGAGCATACAACTTTCCAGTGCGATGTGATGATAACCGACATAGCTTGTAAACCGCCGTTCAAGTTTTCGCGCTTGGCTACGACTTTTCCACACACACACACACACACACACACACACACACACACACACACACACACACACACACACACACA